GCAGACCTCTGGGTACTTTAAATGAACTGCATATAAAGATGTGCTAAGGGATTTGGGGATTTGCTGACGGGTTTTTCTTTGTACTGAAATCTGAGGTAGGTCCCCAATAAAAGTATCTTTGTAAGTACAGGAAATCTTGGATTTTGATTTATGTTTACACCTAAATTTTACATACTAAATGCACAAGGTCTTTACTTACACTTCTGCTAATAAGGCATATAGCTGGCACAACCCGTTGATGTAGGGTATAAAGTCAGTGTTAGCTTTACATGCAATCCATGGTATTTTCAGCAATATTACCTCTTCTCATCTGCTCTGACCTCTACATGTTCCTTTTTTATAGGGGATTATAAATTAAGGGAACTTAAAAGCAAATCAACTTTGATGGCCTTAGAAATACTGCTATTGCTACATGCATAATAGCAAGCATGGGCTTGCACCTTCCTGTTTCATTGCATGCACTGGATACATACATGTGTATGTGGAACCAGAGCAGATGAGGAAAAATACCAAAATACTGTTTTATGAAGACATGAATGGCAGGAGAGCTTATATGCAGCCTGGAAAAAGGATTTTGAGAACTTGAGTAACTGCAGATGTTGCTTTGATTACACAAAGGAAATTTTCTTGTAGTGAAAATCCCTTTTACTCCACCTCTCTCTTTGGGCTACTGCATCTGTGTTGTGTTAGGTAGAATACACAGCTTAGAAAACAAAGTGGCACTGACGATTAGAATAAATATGAATGGGGAAAGTCATCTGAGGCTTCACCCACCACCACTCCTATATGCCTTCAGTTTGGATTTGGCAAGAATTTGTCAGACATTTCACTCCAAATCTGTCTAGACACCTCTGACCCATTACAGCAAATAGCTGACCTTAACTCAAAAAGTAGCGTGAAGCAGTAAAGGACGAAAAATAAAAATTTATTATTTATTTTTTACATTTATTCTGATGGATAAGACTTACTGACTCATAAGAGTTTAGCCCATAACAATTGAGTTTGTTTATTGTAAAGTATCATTTTAGAAATTTTTTCCTCCCTATTTGAATTAAAATAAACTGCATTTCCTAATACCATACATCGTATGGTATTGTACCAGAAATGCTGCCACATGCTCTATCCAAACATGTACTCAAACTAACCCACCCCAGCAGCAACTACCTTCAAGGCTTTTGAGTCTCTTGGGAGATATGGTCCTCCTCTGTTCCAGTGAAAAAGGAAACTATCCTGTGTTCAAGACAAAAAATATTTGTGTCTACATTCACTGAAAATATTTCAAGCATTAGCTCTCTTTTTAAAAAACAATATTCAAATCTTCTGCTTAGGGCTTATATGAAGGAGGAAATCTTGTCAAAGCAATAGTGTTGTTATTACTAATAACTAACTACTTTTAAAGTACAGATAAGGAACTGACTAAGCACATGTCAATGTTTAAACAATTCCATTCTGGCTGTTCTGGTCACTTTCTGAGTCCACTTCCCACAAATCACTGGGCTGTTACTGGAACAAAAGAAAATGTGAGCTGATTTGAACAGGTACCTGCAGCAAATTAACTGCAAATACCAGTCTTCAGCTGGGAAGCTTCTGACTCACATACCCTCACAAGAAGCATTGAATTAGGAAAATTCTTGCATAAAAATCATATTTTGAATACCAAGAGACACAGAGATTCATAAAAATTAGTAAGGTATCTGTAAAACAGGTAACAAAACATATTCCTTCACACAGAAGATAATGAAGTGACAATTTCTGTGGAAACAGTTCCACAATTTATTGGTCTTTAAATAGGTTCCCTTAAAGAGAAGAGAAAAGGATGCATCCTTTAATATGTCTAGTTTCACTATTTCAGGCACTTCTGGATGTATACAGGGGGAAACTGAATGGCAAAGGGAAATCCAAAATTTTCTTGTCTTCGTTGGAGACAAAACAATGAGATTGATGTACTTGGTCTGTCTCAGCTGAGAATTTCTTGTTTTAATCAGTTATATCTTATGTTCTGAACTAGGAACTGAGCACAACAGAAATGCAGCATGTTTGGACCTGTCCATTACATTTCCAGAGTAATCGAGACAGAAATTAGATATGGTGCCATCCTGTAATGTATCTGACAGCTTAAAAGTCATTGAAACAGCTCAAATTCTGCATTTTGAAATTCTGAATGGTTGCTAATGACCATAAATATAATGTTAAATCTAAACTGACCAAATAATGTATTCTCAGGAGCATTCCAAATGCAACAAGGAAGGTGACTTTACTGGTCTATTTTGCTTTTAAGGACATGAGTTTTTAAGGCAATAAGAAAATAAAATGGCAAAATGATGATACAAAAATGTGCTTCCAGGGCTAAGTTCTGGTTCTCTAAATAGAAATGTTCTGCTTTAGCTTTAGAGGACTGGAAACTTTATACAGTGAAGTAGTGACCATAGAAGGAACTGAAACATATCGTCATGTTTTATATTCTTTTCTTCAATGACCTCTTCACCTTTCCTATAGAGAAAAACACAAGCCAAAATGTCTGTATAAAGATTTGTATTGCCTTGAAATTTAGACTGTTTTGAATCTAGTGTTTCAGGCAGAACACACCTGTAATTGTTATTTATCTAATTTTTGTTTAAATGTTTGGGGTTTTTTTCTATTCTATTTGTATTCTTTGTATTATATAAATAGGATCTTTCTTCTCAGTGAAACTTTGGTGAAAGAGGTCATCCAATCATCTGCTATATAAAGTCTACATGAAGTCTGTGAACTTTTTAGGTTATGTCTTTTCCTTTTTGACTGCTGGGAAGGTTGTCAAACACAATCCTTTGAAGAAAGACTTGCTCACCATCTCACTTCACCTCCTTTGAGGTAAGATATTTAGAAATATCTTCATCTTCCACTAACATATAGAATCCATAACTTTACTTGTGTTTCAGTGTAAGGAGAATTTAGAAATAATGTCTCTCTAAATTAGACACTTATCACAAAGAAAATTTCAGAATAAATGTAGTAATGAAAAGAAACAAAGGCAGAGGATAAGCACATCTTTTCTTCTGATGCTGGGCTTGATTCCATTCTATCACCATCCTTAACACATCAACATCCATCCTGATCAATGTCTGTCCCCTTTTGTGGATGAACACTCCAAAAACTTACACTACTCTCTGCCATTGTTAACCTAAGCAATAACAATCACAATTTTTAAAGTCTATTTTCTAAGCAATCGCTATTTTCCTGCTGTTTAAATGTCCCATAAATAAATAAATAAATAAATAAATAAATAAATAAAATCCAGAGATGGTCTCTTGATGGCTGTGGTACTGGCACTTAGTAAATGCTTGGTAACAGCAAATATTAATTGTTTATTTTCTTCTCTTAAAAAATGAAGTTACAAATTTGTGATCCCATAAGAAAATTTTTTTTCCGTGTTATATTTGCAGCCTTTCTCTCGGGGAGTCAGGTCAGATTTTGCATCAGTTACTGCAAGACATAGTAAACATCATCATCTCAGAATATTAACACAACCATGAGAGTTCAAACACAGCTTTATTCCTAAAGCATAATTATATCCCAGGAGCTGTTGGGGACAGTCATACTTATCATTGTACACAACATCATTCACCTTCTCATCATCCTTTCTAATCCAGACTGTGACAGTAGTGTCCAGTCATCAGTCATTAGAATGGGCTATGAGCATGGTGAAAAATGAGGTGGCAACTTAAGGCTATTCCTTAGGAGAAGTAGAATCCAAAGTGGTGTGAAGAGGAGGCAATGCCTTTGTGATGCTTTCTTTTTCCTGACACCAAATCTTTGATTAAATACTGAGCCAGAAGCAGTCAGGCAGGCCTCTAAAAGGGGAACTTGGAGAGACTATTGTCACTCCACTGATAGAAAAAACCTCCACTCTTCATTCTATATTCTTGGTAGAAATTGTTTTTTTTTCTGTGACAAGCTCTTTGGATGAAAACTACCTTACAGTTAGAAGCAGTAGGTAAAGACAGGATGGAAAATAAGACCATCCTTCTAATGTATGGCAAGTAGAATACCCCTAAATGGCACTGTTTAATCAATAAAGCAATTAATTTTTCTAAGAAATGCCTGGATATTCCTTTGCATTTGCATTTGCATTCCTTATTCTCATACATGTAATCACAAAGTCTTGCATCTCAGGGAAGACAAGCTAAAGTACTTCTGGACCCACTGGTTCAAGGAGAAGATGCC